CTGGGTGCAGCTCGCCTGGGGCACCGCGGGACCGTGGGCTGCGAGCGCGGTCCTGGGGCGGGGGGGACACACGGGAGGAGGTGCCGCCGGTGCGGCTGCAGCCTCCGTGCGAGGCGGCCGGTCCCTGCCCCGAAGGGCTTCCGATCTGGGCGGTAATTAGCGTTCCTGCTCGTTCCCCCCGCACCTGCAGGGAGGTGCAGCCAGCGCCCTGCCAGCAGCGGGGCCGGGAGCCCCGGGGGGGGCCCGAGCAGGACCCCGGCCCGGCCGCCCCGCGAGTTCGCAGGGGAGCGCTGCCACGGACCCCCCCGAACAGCACGAAACGGTGCAGCGGCGAGCAGGGGGTGAGCAGGCCGAGCTGCGGCCTCTTCAATCGCTGCGTGCATGCACATGTGCACACAGACACATGGATATGCACATGTGTATGCACACAGGCACACGGATATGCACATGTGTATGCACAGACACAGGCACACGGATGTGCATGCACGCATGGAGGCATGCACATGCGTGTGCACGCACACACAGATGTATGGGCATAACACAAACACACATGCACGGGAAGATTCACGCACACACACAAACCTGTGGGTGCACACACACGTCCGTAAGTACATGCATGCACACGCACACAGGCACGCATGGATGAATGTACATAGATACACACACATACATGCACATACATCTATGCACTCTCACACACACATACACCCCATCTTGCACACCAATGCACGCGCCCGGGTGCCAGAGCAGCCCCCGCCACCCCCCATGTACCTCGGGAGGCCGTGCTGTGGGCCCGGCTGCACCGCTGCATTGTTGGCAGCAGCAAGAAGCCGCACTGGGCTCTGCTGTGAACAAAGCCGGCATGGGGCTGCGGCACCCCAACAGCGTGGCTCCAGCAGTCCCCGACCCCAGGGGGATGGGGCTGCCAGGGTGGGCTGCACTGCTGTGATGGCACTTCATGGTGGCACAGCCACAGGGACAGCCCGGACACGTTGTGCCCTTCCTGGCTGGATAGTGTGTCATGCAGGCCAGATCCAGAGTGGGTGCAGAGGGCCACGGTGCCCTGCCCTTAGTGGGGGTGGGCTGGGGGCCAGACCCTCCCGTGCTCAGCCGTGCTCAGAGCAGCTGCGGCCTCCCCAGGCATGCAGGGAGCTGAAGGCCTCCCCTCCTCTTCCTCCTCTTGGCGGGGACAGCAATCCTAGAGAGCATGGATGGACTTTAACCCTGCCAGCCCGGCTGGGGGGAGCCGCATCCCTCTGTCCCTCTGTCCCTCCCTCTGTCCCTCCTCCCTGCGTCCCCCATCCCAGTGTGGTGGCGGTTCCCAGGGTGGGCACGGCGTTGGGGTCGCCCCCTCCATTCAGGGCTCGGCGGAGGGCCTGGTGCTGCCCGGTTCCCACCGCGGCTCTCAAAGCTGCTAATTAGCCCCCATCTGGCGGCGGTGGCCGGGCCGCGGCGGGGAGGCCGGGGACATTGTGCGCAGGAATTCCTTTCAGTGCCGCCGGCCGGCCGGGTGC